CTGCTTTACCGCCTGCTTCACATTTATTTCACATTGTTCCCCTGAAATTCCCTCACAACGGCAGTAATTTGTCTTCTCAGGTTTCATTTCTTCTTTAAAAACAAAACCAAACAGGGGAGGAATCAAGATGGCGGAGGAGTAGGACATGAAGCTCACCCCCTCCCACAAATACATAAAAAATACATCTACAAGTGGAAGGATCCGCACAGAACATCTGCTGAACGCTGGCAGACCTCAGACTTCCGAAAGGGCAAGAAAACCTCCACATAACCAAGTAGGACACACGAAAAAAGAAAACAAAACCAAACAAAAACAGTAAAGCAATAAAGCTCTCAATGTAAGACTATGTTAAGAGATAAAAAAAATGCCTTCAAATTTCCTATTTTGAAGTCTTTGAAGATTTAAACACTTTTAGATGTCAATGGAAATTGTAAGTAAAGATATGGCATATTCCTTTAAAGAATCGAGTCTCGGGACTTACCCAGTGGTCCAGCGGGTGAGACTCTGTGTTTGCGCTCCCAATGCAGGGGGCCTGGGTTCATTCCCTTGACAGGGGAATTAGATCCCGCATGCATGCAGCAACTAAGAGTCTGCATGCCACAACAACTAAAGGTCCCGCGTGCTGCAACTAAGACGTGGCACATCCTAAATAAATAAATATTTTTTAAAAAGAAAAAAGAATCGAGTCTCCTGCTCTCAACGCAAAACAGGAAGCTTTATAGATACCCGCTTGAAAGATGATTCTCCTAGAGTCAAGGCCTCACCCTCTCAATGGACCTAGGAGGACTCAAATCTCTCCGGAACTCAAGAAGGAATTGCCTCCAAGCTAATTCACTAGGGGCCATTTCTTTTCCTCTGGGCCCTATGGAAAAATTCAACTCAAATTCATTAGCATTCAAAAAGCAATAATTATTTCACCAAATAACCTGAGTGAAATTCTATACCCTATATTCAAAATGACCAGGTAATTTTTAAAATAAATTTCCAACCTCAAAAGATCATCTTTTTCTTCCCAGAGTGGTCACGGCCTTTACAATGCCCAAGCCCTTTAGAACATTGCTCCCACAGGTACACGCAGCGCACGTGACTGGTGAACAAGGCCTTCAAAAGGTCCACAGGTCAGTCATCTTGACAGATACTTTATTTGAAATGGAATGCATTTTGAAAATACGAAAAATAAATCACATCTCTCCAAAATCATTTAAGGGACATATTTACACAAATGACGACCACTTAAGTTCACAAATGTGATAGTTTGAAAGCATTTGGTACATGGTGACGCTTGCTTTTCAAAGCTCGTATTTGCATATTCTGAAATTTTAAGCAGAAGGTTGACAGGGGAATGTAACAGACAATTGTTTTATCTTTCTTCTCAAAATAAATACAATGGTCTGGAAGGACCACCTGTTGTTAAAATCTGCTTCCCCACCACCCAGCTGATCACCAGCAGGCCAGCTTCAGAACAGGTAGTTTTTATGCAGCTGCATCTAATGGTCCAGGGCCCTTCTGCTTCCTTCATTGGACAATAATGACCTTTCTAGGAAACCCTGTTGGATTCTTTACTCCATCTGACAGATGGAGTCCTGCCAACAAAGTCACAGATCACTTTGTCATCCAATCTTATGTAAATCTGGATTGGCTGTTCGGCACCGCAGATCAAAATTCACCCTTTAGGGCTTCCCTGGTGGCGCAGTAGTTGAGAGTCTGCCTGCCGATGCAGGGGACACGGGTTCGTGCCCTGGTCTGGGAAGATCCCACATGCCGCGGAGCGGCTGGGCCCGTGAGCCATGGCCGCTGAGCCTGCGCGTCCGGAGCCTGTGCTCCGCAACGGGAGAGGCCGCGGCAGAGAGGCCCGCGTACCGCAAAAAAAAGGGGGAAAAAAAATCACCCTTTAAACTGTGTCAAGAATTTAGAAAATAGTTCTTAAAAACCCATCCTACCCAATTCCACAATTAATACATCTTAGGTTGTTTTAGGTAAATAGGTGTATTTCTCTTCAAAGGATCACTGATGGATTCATCGAGCTCTATAATTCCCAAATTTAAATTTTATTCTACTGAGGGCATTTTACTGGTAAAGCAAAAACGAATTAGTTTGACATTTACAAAAAAAAGAGGAAAACGAATGTTCACAGGCCCATCATCATCCTACAAAGCTCTATTTTCTAGAGATTGCTCCAGTTTAATTCAAGTCTTAGGTCCCTCTTGTAAACCTGCCACTGAACATGACACTGTAAACACTTGGAGCCAAGCTAAAACCAAAGCACTCTCCCTGGGGACAGAAAACAAGTGATGTGTTTGAACCCACACACTGGCAACAACTCATATAGTGTCAGACTTAAATGAAGAGTCTTTAAGAGAAATAGTGTTTAGAATATGAGAGCAATACAGCATTAAAACGGGCCTCTCAGCTTAAGCCAGACTTCCTAACGGTGCTAATGTGTTAAGAGGAGCTCTTTTAAGCAACAACTGGGCTTCGTTCTTTTTTTTTAACCTCCATTGAAAAATATACGTGAAATGAAGTTATAAAGTTGGTTTGATTTCTACATGATGAGAGAATCCCCCTTCCTCTGAGGGAAATGTTCATTTTGAAAGGGCCCTTTATAGCCATTTGCTCTCTGACCTCAGCACTCCGCGTAGGGCATACGCAGATCCATGTGGATCTCCACTAAGAAAGTATGTCCAAGGAGTTCCGTCATGATGCACAGCCGGTCCCAGTGGTAGCTGTCCTCAGGGAATGGCATGAGAGCAAGTAAAGAAGGAAGCACTGTGTGAGGCCAGAGAAATCACCCTCCTGGGTGCTGGGGAGTTAGACATTTTTTCCTTCTTTCATTTGTCCCAACAGATAGTCATTGAACTCACTGTGTAAGAGGCTTGGTGCCAACACAAGTTCAAAGACAAAAAGTTCAGTTTCCAGATGGGACATTCCTTTTAATTTTCCAACTTTTTACATTTTATGTTTATTTAAGGGGTGGGTTTTCTACTGGACCTCTCCTCTCCTTCTTCCCTTTCTTGGGTTGAAAGACGAATCACCTTTCTCCATGAAGGTGATTTGTCAGGCCTCAGAATACCCTAAGTGGTTTGTATCATTTTCTTACAGGTAAAATAGAGCCACCAACACATTAAATGGTTTGTATTTTGTTTTGCTGAGTATTGTTAAGTATGCTCGTTTTTTGTTGTTGTTGTGCTGGAAAAATTATTAAGCCATAATAAGTGTTAAATAAAAACAAAATCCCATCCTACTCCTCTCCTTTCTAATTTCTGAGGTTTCACAGTTAAATGCTAAGAGGGGTTCAGACTAGAGAGTCACTAAGAGGGTCAACTCAGTATAAATATCACAGCAGAGCAAGGACTAAGGGCTGTGGAAAGATAATACAAGGAACCATGATTCCGGTGGCCACATTACAAACCAGAGCCGTTGTAAGAAAGAAAAAAATTCTAGCAGCCACGAGGGAGCCTGGGCATACTTTTTTTTTGACAACACTACCTAGCCGGTATGTAAGCTAACAACATACAAGTGCCTTTAAAAGCCTACAAGAATCTTAATTTTAAAAGTATTTGGTATGGATTTTAATTTTTTTATAGCATGAGAATTTGAAAGAAAAATCCTTCCATCTGGAAAAAAAAGCTGTGGGTTAATTGGGGTTACATGATCTGCATGTATTAAAATGACAGTACAATGAGGCATTATTAAAAAGCACAGCAGTGGTTCCAAAGAAATCAAACCGAACTTGACTTAAGAACTCTTGAGATCTGCTCTCTGAGATGCCCATCATATATACATTTTTTCACAACTGCAACTTAGCCTCTGCAAGTGGGAGTCCACTTAAATTCTGCTTGCCATTTGGTTGACTTTTATTTCCCCCACCACTTTTTGGATTTGAGTTATGATCTCAAATTTTCATCATTTAAATATTGCACTGAGAAGTAATTTGACCTTGAAACTCCTTTTCAGATGGAGGGAGAATAAAGATATCTCTAGCATGAAATTCTATTTTCATTTCTTGACTACAGAACTTAGCAGTGGCCCAATACTGACCATTCCAATTTGGAAGCTGGAAAAATACTGATCAAGACTTTGCAGAAAAGATGATGGAAAACAGAGACCCGTTAGTAAAGCTAGGCAGATAGGAAGTGATTTTCAGCCGTAAGAGGATTTGGTAGCATCTATGGGCTCTTTTTAAACTTAAGTAGCATCTGCCCTCGTGGACTTTGACCATCCTTTTCATTTAACACAGAAGAGGGTTTGTTCTACCTTTAAAAGCACATGCTCTTCCCCCACCTCCCCCCGCCCCACCAACAACCCCCCAGACTCCTGAACAAGTCGCTGCTAAAACAAGACTGGGGTTGTTTTCTTACTGCAAATCCAGTGTTTATCCAGTCCTTCCTTTTTCAATTTCTGAGTTTAGCTAACCTAACAACAAAACATATAACCCTTGGATTTCTCACAGAGCAATAAAAAGCAAAACAGCTGATGTCTCTGATCAACATTATTCTCAGAATGAAAACAAAAAGCTATGACTCCTAGTCCTTTGAAATATTTACAAACTGTATTTTATTTAAACTATGAGATTCTAGATAGAATATGATTCTAGAACAAAGTAAAAGGGCCAGAAAATGTGGTTCACATCAAGTGTGCAAAGCTCTTGGAGAAGGGTAATCTCTATGGTGGCTAAGAGCACAAATGTTCTCTCAAACAAGTGGAATAATTCTTTTCCCCCACTATGTTTTTTGAAATGAAACACCTAATGCATTCATACTCAGAAATCATAGAAAACTCCTTATTAAACCCTTCACACATAGATAATCTAAGAAAGCCTTTTCCTACAGCAGACCCAGCCCTCCTTTGTATATTCAGGATATGATCATCTTGCCATCAGTTGGGTTATGTTTGAAATACTCTGAATCAGCTGTCATTACTACTGATTTCCTTTTAGAAAAAGCAATTCGATTTTTATAATTACACAATTCTGAACGTTTAGCTTCTTTAAACTTCCATTCTACACAAAATATATGTCGAAGGAAAAAAAAACTCAAAAGAAAAAAAGAAGAAAGAAAACTCCACATAGTATCACAGAGTTTAATTTCAACCACCTGGTATAACATTTAAGTATCAGACCTTCTGAAAATGAATTCTTGATGTGTTCCCTTTCACCGCCCTTTTACTTTCTTCTTTCCCAAGATTAGAACTTACTAGCGAATAGGTTTTTGAAAATAAAGTTTCTTTTTTGGAAAATGGCCTACATTCAGAAATGTCTCAGAACAAGCATTTAAAAAAAACTAATAAATAATCATAAATCAAAATACATTAAAATAACATTACAGTACATCATCGCTCCTAAAAGGTCCACCATACTGGAAGATCCTCTCAAAGGTTCATAAATAAAGCCTTCTGGACTCGAAATCATTTCCTGCATTGTGATGAAGAGTATGCAGAAAAACTAAGAGGAATCGCCAAGTTATCGGTCGTATTCTGTCCAAACTACTTGGTCTGGTGCGGGCGGGGCGACTGTTTTGTTTTCGATCCAAGTGAAGACAATAGAAAGGTGCTTGTCCCACTTCCTCAAGTCCTCACAACCTGGAAAGAAATGACAAGGATTGAAGTGGCTCGGACTCCTACAAGACCCAGTTCTCTTCGGGCCTGTCCCGTGGACAAAGCGAGCTCAGAAGGACACCGGGGTCGCTCCCTCGAGTCCCCAGACACACTCAAGTGGCGCTGGTGACAAGGAGAGAAGCTGCGGCGTCGCTGGGGAGCGCACCAGTGAACACGCGTGGGTCAGCGTGGGCGGGCGGGCGGGCGATCAGGAGAACTTCCTGCGCGGCCCGAACCCCGCACCCTCCCCTCTCTGCCCCGCCTCTCCTGGCTCCAGCTTGTTCCCTTCTTTCCGCCTCCCAGAAACCTGCATTAATTTCTCATTTTTCCACCCAAGATCCGAACCAGGGAAAAGGCTTCCTACTGCTACCACCCCCAGCCCCACTCCTCGGAACCTCCCTCGGGAGCCGAGCTGCCGGGACCTTACCTCGTCTGGCTCGGGTGCTGCCCTCTTCAGGCAGAGTTCGAGGTGCTACGGAGAAGCCGGTGGCCGTGCGGCTGCGAGAGCGGTAGTGGGTGCGGGTGCGGATGTGGGTGCGAACGCAAGTGCGGATGCGGATACGGATGGAGCGGCTGCGGCTGCGGCTGCGGCTGGGGCTTGGGTTGGGGCTGCGGCTGCGGCTGGGGCTTGGGTTGGGGCTGCGGCTGCGGCGGGGCTTGAGGGTGGGACTGGGGCTGAAGCTGCGGCTGCGGCGGCTGCTGCTGGACCAGGTGCTGCTGCTTCTGCCGCGTGGACTTGACCGCCAGGATGGCCTGACGATTCTTGTACTGCACCATCTGAAGCGTGATCTCCGCGTTCCAGCCCTGGTCCTGCGGGCACCGAAAGTCGATTTCCTTGCCCTCGGCCATCACCACAGTGAAGTACATATACTTGCCTTTGCGCTCCACGCAGTCCACGGTCTTCATGTTGGAAAAGTGCAATTCCTTCAGCTTGACGGGCGGCTCGAGGCTGCCCACAGCGGGGCCTCCGGGTTGGGATGGCTCGACTGGCCCCTGCCCGGGCTGCTGCTGCTGGTGTTGCAGCTGTTTGGGCGGGATGAGCAGCAGCCCCTCCTCAGTGAGGATACAGCACTTTTTCTTCCAGAGCTGCAGCAACCCGTCGCTGCGCTTCTCCAACACACCCTCCTTCAGCGCCTTGCAGCCGCTGCTCTCCAACATCCTCCCGGCATAGGGGGGACCGCCGCTCGGCTCGGCTTCTCCTCTTCCAGCCGCCCGGGCCCGGGGGGGCAGCAGCAGCCGCGCGCCGTCCTCGCCCCAACGGCTCCCGCGGCCGCCCGCCCGGAGCGCGCAGAAGAGGCTAACGCGCAGGAAGCAGAGCGGCGGCGGCGGCTGCGGCGGTTCCTCGGGGTCCGAGCAGCAGGGCAGCCGCGTCCTGATGCGCCACAAGGTCCGGGAGCTGCGAGCCGCCGGGCCTCTGCCGTCCTCTTGCGAGCGCTCACTGAAGGGCTCTGGCCGGGCCCCCTCGCGGCGCTTTTGAATGGGCCATCCCCCCCACCCCCGAGTGACACCCAGCGGAAAAGGCGGCTCCTGGCGCCCGCGCCGCGGGGGAAAGCCCAGCTCCGAAAGGCACTCCGCCGCCGGCGCACGCCTCAATAACTTGGGGCCTTTCCAAAGCCGGCCGCGTCCACGCCCCCCGCGTCCCTTGCTCCGCCTCTCGCCGCCCACTCGCTTCCGCGCTCCTTCCCCGGGATGGCTGCAGGGACCCGAGCCCCGGAAACTCCTCTCCTCCACCGGGCGCCACAGCCGAGGGCGCCCGAGATGGCCAGCAAAGGATGCCGAGGCGCAGAGGGCGCTGAGAGGCCATCCCCAGACGTCCCGCCTCTCCTCCCGGTGGGGCTTTCTGCTAACAGCCTCAGAAAATGAGGATGGGGCTGCGAGGACGGGTACAGCTACCAGACAGTGCCTGGTACGCCAAGCTGACCCTCTGCCCTCGGGAACCCAGCCCTGGGGATTCGCGCTGCCTGGGCGAGCAAGGAGCCTGGGGGTGAGGCTCGCGAGCCGCGGAGTCCCGTGGAAGCGTGCCTCCCCCGGACACTACGTAAACATCTTAGTCCACAAAGGCCGAGAGGACACGGTGTCTTTACACTCACATTCGCTTACGGTCACTAACTAGCTCTTCTTGGAGCCGAAGGGGCGATTGTTAAAGCAACAGCGCTACCGTCTGTCCCGTTTGGAAGGGATAGAGGAAGAGGACCACTTCGGATGGCATCTCGCCTTCCTTTTCTCGAGCCAGGAGCGCAGGCACTGCCTATCTTTACCCGTGACACGAACGCTCTAGCTTCCTTCTTGACCCATCCGTACAGCCCGCAATAGCTCACAACAGTAATTCAACTCTAACGACAAATTCGGGTAATGCCCGGTCCCAACACTTTAAGGCAGTTTAGCCTTCCAAACGGCAGGCTAGCCTCCGCGGGTCCCTCTCTTTGCAAACGCCAAACGGGTCAGATCTCTTGGAATCTCATTTATCTGTAACCTGGGGAAAGTAATGCGGTACTCGCCCCTAGCTCCCTCCTACTCCATTTAAACAATTTCTACAGAAATTCTGGGAAACAAGGCAGAATAAAGAGCCTAAGCCGAGACCAAATCTCTTGGGGGAAATGTATTAAGTAAACAGAGAACCCCAACTATGTACCGACCCTGAAAATACGAAGAATTACACAAAGAAGAAATAAAGCAGGGGTGGATAAGTCAGAGTTGGCCAAGGTAAGAGGAAAGGCTGCTACTTGAACTCGAGAAGGAAGAAGGGAGAGCTTAGCTCATCTGTAGTTTCATCAGGCTGGTACAAAGAATTCAAAGGGGAAGAAGTGAGAGACGAGCTTGGAGAGCAGAGCAAGATTCAAATTCTTTGTGTGTCACGCTTAAGAAATTCCAGGTTTATCCCAAGGTAATCGAGAACAAAGGATAACTTTTAAACACGGGAGGGTCCTGAATCTTAATATAAGGAACAATGTTTCAGCAAATGGGACAATTCCAGCACAATCCTGAGACCCACTGAATTGCACTTAGTGGGCTCTCAGGGCCTTCACATTGTTGATGGATTAGTCTTTTAAGGAGAAAGGCAAAGTCATGTAAAGATTTTTTACATGATTACATTTTAAGAAGGTGGCTTTTTAAAAAATTCTGTATACCAATGAATGACAAACACTGCACCTAACGTCTCAGTTTTTCCCCTGCCTTTGCAGGACAAGTGAGCATTCCAGAGAATTTCCACATGACCAGCTGTTCATCTTTTTAACAGAATGCCATTCTTCAGCTCATTTAGAAAGGATACTTCCTTTAAATGTGTAATTCAGAGTCTCTGAGGGCAGGTGTAGTTGGGAAAGACATTTCATATGGAAAATTGATACTATACAAACCAAACTGGGTAAAACATTAAGATGTATTCTGGAAGCCCAAGCCATTTTCTTGAGAAACGCAACATTTGGTGTTTCTATTCTTCTGCAGTTTATCAGGACGCAACAAATGCATTCTATCTAAGCTACTTCACAATGTCTGAACAACCAGCAGCACGATTTTCAAAAGCACTTGTTATAATTAGAGACTTAAAAACTCAGAATTTCCAGTTGGGTATTTCACAACTTAGTGACTTTGTGAACAGCTCAGAAGTATACAGTTTGCCTTCTCCAACCATAGTGCAACTGATTATTGGAAATCTCAGTAGTATAATATAGGAATCTTGTAGATAGGTGACAACTTTGCTTTTAATTTCACCAGTCACCACCAACTCACAAAAATGGCCATATTACCATTTTTAAGACAAATTCGCAGAAAATGAATTACAGGAAATAACTGCCCCCCCCAAAAAAAAACCCACAACTTCAGTTGTAGATAATGAAAACCTACGAATGTCACTTAAAAATTACTAAAGTTTAGAAAGCCAGCTAACAAGTCACTAACAAGGCTTAAATCAAAGTGTATATTATGGCCAGCTGCATCAAGTTGTCTATCAGCAGCATCTGAGAGTTGATCATCTTCTGCTCTAGGACAGTTCTTCACTGGCTTCGAGGACACCACTTAGCTTTCCTTCCACCTCCCTGGTCATTGTCTGTCTCCTCTACAGGTTCCTCCTCTTTCCAATCTTTTGAGTGCCCCAAAGCTCAGCCCTTGGTTTTTATCTACACTCACTCCCTTGATCTCATCCAGTCTTATTATTTTCAATAAGATCTATATGCCCAAGACTCCCAAATTTATATCCAGCTGCTTGTTGCCAAAGAATAAAACAGACTACCAAAGTTAAAAAATAATAACACCCCCAGGCAAGGGAACACATACTGGTGAAGACATGCATTGAGTAGTTCGCTAGAGGGAGAAGTCTGAGGGGATTTTCGATCATAGAAAGCAGGGTTCATGGAGCTTTTGCGAATAAAAAATAGCATGCTGGATAGGATGGAGTCCATAGGCTTATATATGACTGGTTAAAACAAATGCCTGGGTAGAACTGGTTCAGTAAGGGTCTGAAGTCAAAGTTCATGGTTTGTTAAAGAGCCTTAGCTGGTTAGAATGGCTGTAATGAAAAATACCCTTCAGTTTTTATATATTCCAGGCCACTGTTACTGTAAATTGAATTTTTTCCTTTTCCCTTTCTCTACAGTACTATTTGGGTGTCTATTAGAGAACCAGAATATATGCACTCCCAAACTTACCTCCTCACCCTGACCTGTTCTACTTACCTGCAATCCCCCTCTCAGGTGATGGCAATTCTATCTGTACAGTTGTTCAGGCCAAAACCCTTGCAGCAGTACTGCCCTTAGAACAAGACAAAAGGAGCCCTGTGCTTTGAAGAGCCAGTACTACATGCCTATCTGGAACTCATACTTGTTCTAGACTATACTCCAGGTACTCACTCCAAATACCCTGCCTAAATGACCTTGGCTATTTCAGAGTATTACATGACCATTGTGTGCACTGGTGTGTAAGGCAGGTGGACAGATTTTGAACATGCAGGCTAGGAATGTCCACACAAACGTGCAGGAGGCCCCTTGCCATACAATTCAAAGGCAGGAATGGGAAGACAAGGAAAGTGGGACACAGGCAGAGGATCAGCTTCCTCACAAGGCAGCTTCTGGCACAGGAGTTTTAAGGATCTGAATTTCAAACCTGGACCTCCAGGTACTTGTGAAGGTGTATTTGGCAGGATAGTAGTGTGGGACGTATCTTCATTGAACAAAACTTTAAAATATTTAATCACTGGCGTCTCCATTGCACTCCTACCCCAGGACGGCAAATGTTTAGAAGCATGCCTGCCTTGCAAAAATCCTTTACTCGCTTTCCAGTACCCAATCCACAAACTGAGTCAAGAAATCCCAACGGTTATGCCTTCAAACCATATCTATATTCTGTCCATTTCTCTCCACTTCATCACCACCCTGATAATCTCTCCCCTGAAATACTGCCATGGCCTCCGAACTTTGCCTCCCTAATTCTACCCTTGTTGTCTTATCATCTATATTATAATCTATTTAAGACATCCCAATCACTTTCTTCAAGTCTCTGCTCAAATGTCATCTCAATGAGGGCTTTCCTAATCACTCTAAAACTGCAACCACCCAATTTCCCTTAATTTTTCCCATAGCATGTATTACCTCCTAACATAACTGAATAATTTATAATTCCTATTGCTTATTTCTGTTCCCATTACTGGAGTATGTCAGTTCTTCCAAGAGGTCAAAAATCATTGTTTTGATGTGTCCCGATCACCTAATACATTTCTTGGCACACAGGAGCTCAACATATGTAGAAATTTTAAGACTTAAAAGCCCACATCTGTCATAAAAAGAAAATCAATGTCTTCAAATGCTTGACAGATTTTTCATAATGCATCCTACTTTTTAAAGTTTTCAAACTGTAATAAGAATTTATGAAAAGACTTCTAAAACTTGCCATACCAATACATGTATTTGGTAATAGTTTTTTTTTTTTAATAAGTTTACTTTTGGCTGCGTTGGGTCCCTGTTGCCACGGTGTGTGGGCCTCCCACTGAGGTGGCTTCTCCTGTTGCGAGCATGGGCTCTAGGAGCACGGGTTTCAGCAGCCGTGGCACTAGGGGCTCAGTTGCCATGGCTTGCAGGCTCCAGAGCGCAAGCTCAGCAGCCATGGCACTAGGGGCTCAGTTGCCGTGGCTTGCAGGCTCCAGAGCGCAAGCTCAGCAGCTGTGGCACACGGGCCCAGCTGCTCTGAGGCATGTGGGATCTTCCCAGCCCAGGGCTCAAACCCGCGTCCCCTGCATTGGCAGGCGGATTCCCAACCACTGCGCCACCAGGGAAGCCCTGGTGATAGTTTTAAAAAATTGAATTAACAACTATACATGCTAGGCCTCTCTGAACTTTAAATGCTACTATAGTCTATAAATGCTATCTAAAAATACGTCCTACAAACCTTCCTTTTCCTGAGCAGCATGCAGCTTAATATTGAGAGGTATTTATACATCATCCTATTGCTTGCTAGTAAGAGTAATCAAAAAAAAAAAAAAAACAACAACACAGTAATGGAACTGAATTGATAGAATTTTCTCTTAGTTGGCCGATACCTGCTTAGAAGTTCATTAATACTGGCTTAAAGACATTGAACAGAAGTTAGAAAGTTATAAAGTGTTTACTTTCATTTACAACTTGATTACAAGATTATAAAACTTTTAATCTATAAACTTCCTAATTTGCAATATAAAGTAGAAACTCATGGAAAATATCATTATTAAAGATTTGGATAAAGTTCAAATGTCTTTAAAGAAATAGTTAAAAGCCAAGTAATCATGAAAATACAAGTCAGGTCACCTTCATTAGTGCATGAAGGTCTGTGTTCAGACTGCAATTTAGACTTCTTAGCCATTCATCTCTTCATTTTTAAAAATTCTATTCAGTAAAAATATTTTATAAAGATTCTTATTTCCAAAATGCTGAGTTGAAAAGGTTAACAACTCTTCAACTGAATACAGAACTATTTTTCTTCACAGATGCGTCCCTCTAGCTGCCTTCCTTTTCGCCTGAAGTTGATGAACTGTGCCTCCTAGTGACCAATTTGTATAACACAGCTTAGAGCAACTGAGAATTGAGAAGTGTTCAAAACACGGCTATTACAACCCGTTTACAGATCAAACACTGTCAATCAGCTGTCTCTGTCCTTTCTATTGTGCCAACAGCCTAACTTTAGGTTCTCATTTCTCTCATTCGTGCTCTTGTAACAGCCCAACCACTTGAATCCACACTAATACAC